AAAATCGAAAAACTGAAAGTTAAAGAACTGAAACAAAAAGTGACAAAATGAACAATTAAAAAATTAAAAAATAAGGAATTTTGTAACCTGAAAAACGAAAAATAGCAAATCAAACAGAAAAAGGAAAAACTGAACAATGAAAAAGTATAAAACCGAAAAATCGGAGACCGAAAAATTGAAAAATCGAAACATTAAAAGTCGAGGAACTGAAAAATAAAAGAACCGATAAAACAAAAATTGAAAAATGAAAAAAATTGGAAAACTGAAAAATTGTGTATTCGACCAATACTTAATTCCAGAAAAGAAAAATCGAAAAATTGGAAAACTGAAAAAAATGTAAATTGTGAAAAATCAAAAAATTCCAAGAAATGGAAAATTGAAAAATGCAAAAATTAAAAAACTAAAAAATTGAAAATCGAAAAATTGAAGAAATAAAAACTGAAGAAACGAAAAATTGATAAATCCAAAAACTGAAAGTCAGAGAACTGAAAAAAAACTGAATAATCAAAAAATTAAAAAAAAACATTGTGTAATCGGAAAATCGAAAAATAGGAAAGCGAACAATTGAAGAAAGGAAAAAATGGAACAATGAAAACGTGTAAAACCGAAAATTGGAGAAACAAAAAATGGAAGAAACGAATATATAAAATCGATTAATTATAAATCAAAAAATTAAAGAAAGGAAAAATTGATAAATTATAAAATTGAGTAAAGTGAAAATGTGAAAAAGATCAAAAAAATCCAAATCAAAAAGTTCTAAAATCAAAAATTGCAAAACGAAAAATTGAAGAAATGAAAAATTGAAGAAACAAAAAATTGAAATTCGAAGAGCTGTTAATATGAAAAATTAAAAAAACTGAATATTGCAAAACCGAAATATTATATCTCGAAAAATTACAAATCGAAAAATTGAAGAAACCATAAAATTGAAAAATGAAACAGTGATAAGCGGAAAAATCGGACACCCGAAACATTGAAAATCGAACAATTGATGAAAAGAAAACTGAAAAATTAAAAATTGAAAAACTGAAATATTGAAAATAGAAGGTCGAAATTGCAAATTGAAAAATTAAAAAACCGAAAAATCCTAACATCGAAAAATCGGGGAAACGAAAAATTGACAAATTGAAAAACTGCAAATCGAAAAAATTAATAATTGGAAACACGAAAAATTAAAATAATTAAAAATTGAACAATCGAAAAATCGCGAAAATGAAAGATTGAAAATTGTAAAATTGAAAAAAAAAAATTAAAAAATTGGAAATCTGAAAAATTAAGAATTGAGAAACTGAAATTTTGAGAAATGAAAATAAAAAAATTACTAAACAAAATATTGAAGAAATAAAAAATTATAAAAACGAAAAATTTGAAAATCGAAAAATTAAAAAATGGAAAATTGTATAATCCGAAAATTGTAAAATCGAAGAAATGAAAAATTGTCACACTGAAAAATTATAGTTCAAACAAATTGAAGAAATGAATAATTGAAAAATTTGAAAATTGAATAAAGTGAAAATGTGAAACAAATCAAAAAATCCAAATCAAAAAGTTGTAAAATCAAAAAATTGAAAAATCAAAAAATTGCAAAACGAAGAATTGAAAAAATGAAAAATTGAAAAAACTAAATATTATAAAATTGAGAAATTATAAATCAAAAATTTGCAAAAGGAAAAACTGAAGATATGAAAAAGTTTATAATCGGAAAATTGTAAGATCGGAAGATTACAAATCAAAGAATTAAAGAAATCGGAAATTGAGAAATGAAAAAGTAAAAAACCTAAAAATTGAACACCTGAGATATTGAAAATCGAATAATCGAAGAAAAGAAAAATGAAAAATTAAAAAATCGAAAAATCGCAATATCGAAAAATTGAAGAAACGAAAAATTGAAAAATCGAATAACTAAAAGTGGAAGAACCGAAAGAAAAGAATTGATAAAATAAAAAGTTGAATAATCAAAAAATAAAAAAAAAGTGTAATCGAAAAAAGAAAATAGCAAACCAACAACTGAAGGATGGAAAATTTGAACAATGAAAACATGTAAAACCGAAAAATCTGGAAACGGAAAACTGAAGAAACGAAAAATTATAAAATCAAAAAATTATAAATCAAAAATTTAAGAAAGAAAGAAATAAAGAAAGAACTGAAAAAATGAAAATGTGAAAAATCGAAAAATTGAAAAATCAACATTTAAAAATTGTTAGAAGACAAAAAATTAATAAATCAGAAACTGAAAATAAAAAACAAACGAAAAAATTACTAAATCAAAAAACAAAAAAAAAATGAGAAATTGAAACACTTAAAAAATGAAAATAAGAAAAATCCATAAATAGCAAAAAAATGAATAACCGAAAAATCAAAGATACAAATAATTGAAAAAACAAAACATCGTACAATCGAAAAATTGTAAGATCGAGAAATTCCAAATCGAAAAATTGAAGAAAAAGTACTCAAAAATTAAAAATTAAATTCAGAGTCTGAAAAATTGAAGAAATTAAAAATTGTAAAATCGAAAAACTTAAAATCAAGGAACTGAAAAAAATTTGTAGAACGACAAATTGAAAAATCAAAAATTTAAAAAATAAAAGATTTTGTAATCGGAAAAATGAAAAATTGAAGAAACAAAACGTTATAATACCGAGAAATTATAAATCACATAATTGAAGAAAGGAAAAACTGAAAAATTGGAAAACTGAAAAAACAAAAACGCAAAAAATCAAAAAATGGATGAATTGATAAAACGAAAAATTGAAAAATGAAAAAAATTGGGAAAATAAAAAATTGTGTAATCGACAAATTCTAGATCGGGAAATGGAAAACCGAAAAATTGAAGAAATGAAAATTTGAACAAATGTAAAACTGAAGAAAAAATGAAACATTGTAAACTTGAAAAAATTCAAATCATAAAATTTAGGAAACGAAAAATTTAGAAATGAAAAATCCGAAATATTATACCTAAGTCGAAAAATTACAAATCGAAAAACTGAAGCAACCAAAATGAAAAATGAAAAAGTGAAAAACCAAAAAATCGAACAAGAAAAGAAAAATAAAAAAATTAAAAATTACAAAAACTGAAAAAGGGAAAAATTGAAAAATGAAAAAATGTAAAACCGGAAAAACGGAGAAACGAGAAACGAAAAATTGAAGAAAAAAAAATCATAAAATCGAGAAATTATGCGTACAAAAACTGAAGAAAGGAAAAATTGAAAAATTGGAAAACTGAAAAATGTGAATATGTGAAAAATAAAAAAATTCCAAATTAAAACATCGAAGAAATAAAAAATTGGTAAATCGAAAAACCGGAAAATGAAAAAATGGAACAATGAAAAATTATGTACTCGACAAATTGTAGAAAACAATTGAAAAATTAAAAATTAAATAATTTAGAAACTGCTTTATTGAAAAAAGAAAATTGGTAAAAATTGAAGAAACGAAAAATTGAAGAATTAAAAATCCAAAAATAGAGAAACCGAAAATTGAATATTAAAAAAATTTAAATAATTATATAAACAAAAAACGTGTTAACCGAAAAATAGAAGGAACGAAAAATTGAACATACGAAACATTGTAAAAATTGCAGAAAACAAAAAAGTTAAGAAATTGAAAAAATTAAAAATGGAAAACACGAAAAATTCAAATATTTAAAAATTGAAAAGTCGAAAATGCCAAATTGACAATTTGCAAATCGAAAAACTGAAGAAACGAGAAATTGAAAAATTGAAGAAAACGAAATACAGTATAATCGGAAAATTGTAAGATCGACAAATTGAAAATTCGAAAACCCAACACTGTAAAATTACAAAATGATACCATCAGGAAATTCCAAATCGAGAATTTGAAAAACTAAATTAAAATTAAGAAACCGAAGAAGTAAAAAACCAAAAAATCCAAGAAACCAAGAACTGAAACAATTTAATTAATGACCCGGCGGCGCGAGGGGAAACTGGAATAAATTTACATCTGAAGCAATAAGGATCTCCAAGGAGTTTCACGATGAAAGAAAAGCAAAGAAATCAAAAGGAGCAAGTACTTATTTATTGTCGACGGAAGATTTCCAGCAGACTCTACTTTAGAGATTAACGTAATGAAACTGATGCAATTTAAACTTTTTTCAGGAGAGCGGACTCGTTTAGAGCGATTTTTGTTGCTAATTTAATTTGTTTCCGGTGGCGGAAGTTTGCGAGACGTGAGACGATCATTAAACAATTTCCGGGTAAAAATTTTATACCAATATCAACATAAAAAACAACTCTAGCGCACGAGAAAAATTACATTGTCGTGCAAAGAAGTGTCCTTTTTCCAAACAGATAATCATTTTGTGGCTCTAAAGTAACTCCCCAGGCAAATAACCCAAATATCCACACCGCAACAACCCCTAACGACACAAATAGCCCCTTTGTGAATTAAATTAGAGCCCGAATTTGTTGTAGGACAGCCCGAGACCATCATATTTAATAAAGGGTTTGACTGAAAATTACCGTCGTAATTTAGCCGAGTTTGCACATTAGTCGAGATAAACTCAAAAACATTTAACGCGATTAACTCGTCGATCATACAAGAGACAATGGATTCGTTTGTGTATTGTTCCAACGTCGACTTTTTCCACGGGCTATGTAACGAATTTTTTCATTGTGTTCAAAGCTGTGAGAAGAGCATTTAAAAGGATAATGGATGCCCCGAATGTATATGTAGAGAATAAAACAATCTCGGTTGTATTGTCTAGAGGATAGAGGAGCATTTGCTTGGGGGTTATCAGTTAATTAATATAGAAAGTTTCGCTCAAGACTTTGGGGCTGTAGCGTGTTCTGTCTGCTGTAATCTAGCTCGGCTTTAGGGAAGTTGGGGGTAGCTTCTAGGTAATATGATAATGATAACAAAAAAACTGCCATTAAATATTATAATGTTATTATAATTAGATACCCCGACATACTCAGGTGTATTGTGGGTTGCATCCTCAAATCGTCAACCCACACCAATTCGTTAAAAATTCTCTGTTCCAGGACCTCACCATCGGCCTTCTCCCTATCACCACCATGTCGATCTTGACCTTCGCCCTCTTCTGCATCCTCCTCGCCTCCCAGTTCCCCATCATCCTCGAGTCCGACGCGTGGGCTCTCGTCTCCTCCCTCCTCATCGCCGTCATCGTCACCACCTCCATCCTCCTCCTGGGCCAGCGGCACGCTCCCCTGCCGCTCTTCGCCCTCCTGCTGGCCATCCACACCATGCTGCCCCTTTCGAGGGCAGTGGCCCTGGCTCTGGCCGCTGTCGTCACCGCAGCGTACATGGGATGGTCCATTGCGGACCGAGTCAACGACGAGCGTCACTCGCATTATCTACAGGTGAGTGGCGTCCGCACCCACGCCGTGTGGGCGGAGGGCCCGTTCAAAAATAAAAAGGGTCGGAAGAAAGTGACGGTGACGTCATGTTGCAGCTGATCCCGGAGTGCGTCTTGCTGGTCACGGCGTCGTGCACGGGGTTATACTACAGGCATATGACGGAGGCGGCACACAGGAGGACGTTCGTGGGCACGAGGACGTGCATCGAGTCGAGGGTGAAGCTGGAGTGCGAGAAGGAGCAGCAGGAGCAGCTGTTGTTGAGCGTCATTCCGGCGTATATCGCTGCAGAGGTGGGATGATTTTTGCTTTCCGTCTATCTGTCTGTCTGTCTGTCGTCTGTGTCAATTTTTATTAGACGCATAATCTCTGAAACTACTGGACATGTAGCGCAGACATTATTAAAACTTTGCCTAATAAACTCTACACAATTTTTCCTTTTTCCTTTTTCTTCGATTTTACAATTTTTTGTAATCATAATTTTTCGTTTTTTCAAAATTTTTTAGTTTTTAAATTTTGTCGTATTTTACTGTTTCGGTTTCATCATTTTTCGTTCTTTCAGCTTTAATTTGTTGAATTGTTCAATTTCTCGACTTCTGAATTTTTCAATTTTTCATTTTCCTGACTTTTTAAGTTTCATTTTCTCGACTTTATACCACAATTTTTCCTTGTTTTTTTTATTTTTCAATATTTCTTTTGGTTTTATAATTTTTCCTTCTTTCACTTTTTCATTTTTTCAATTTCCTGATTTTCCAATTTTTCGTTTCTTCAATTATTCTTTTCTTGAATTTTTCGATTTGAAATTTTTTAATTTTCCAATTTTTTGATACAACATTTTTTCGTTGTTTTTTTTCTCTTATTTTTGTAAATGTTTCTTTCGATTTTATAATTTTTCTTTTACACAGTTTTTCATTTCTTCAATTTCCCGATTTTTTAATTTTTAGTTTCTTCAAGTTTTCAACTAGTAATCTGTCGATTTTACAGCTTTTCGTTTCACAATATCTCGTTTTCTCTTTTTCTTTTATTTTCCAATTTTTGGCATCTTGGATTTTTCGTTTCTTCAATTTTTCGATTTACAATTTCCAGTTCTCAATGATTTTTTTTTCGGTCTTGCAATTTTTAAATTTTTCAGTTCCCGGATTTTCCAATTTTCAAATTTTTCAAGTTTTGGATTTCCAGTTATCCGATTTTCGATTTCTTTCATTTTCGGTGTTTCTTTCTACAATACATATTTCGGTTTTTCGATTTCGCATTTTTCGATTTTAAAGTTTGTCAAATTTTAATCTATTCAATTTTTCAGTTTTTCTTTTCTCCAATTTTTCCAGTTCTTGATGTCCAGTTTTTAGATTTTTTAAAGTTTTCATTTTATACTTTTTGTTTTTTCATTTTTGATATTTAATTTTACGATTTTTCAATTTTTCAATTTTTTTGGTTCGGAAAGTTAAAATCGAACAACTAAAAAATCGGAAAAAATGATAAATCAAGAAACTGAAAAACGATAAATTGCGAGTCGAAGAACCGAAGAAATGAAAAGTAAAAAACTAAAAATTGAGAAACTTAAAAATCGAAAAAAGTTAATGAATCGAAAAGTTGGAAAGAAGAAAGAACATGTTTTCAAATCTTCGTTTCTTCGATGTTTCAGCGTCCTGATTTTTTATTTTTCAATAGCGCAATTTTTTGATTTTTCAGTTCCTCGATTTCTCAATTTTTAAATTTTTAAATTTTTGGATTTCCCATCATCCGATTTGGAGATTTCTTTAATTACTTTTTACAACACATTTGAATGTTTCGATTTTTAAGTTTCTTCAGCTTTTCAAGGTGTTGATGTCCAAATTTTAGATTTTTCAAAATTCTTGTTTTATACTTTTTGGTGTTTCATTTTTCATTTTTTAATTTTACAATTTTGATTCGAAAGCTAAAAAATCGGAAAAAAATGATAAATCAAGAAACAGAAAAAACGACAAATTGCAAAATCGAAAAATTGCAAATCAAAGAACCCAAGAAACGAAAATTGAAAAACTAAAAATCGTGAAACTTAAAAATTGAAAAAAGTTAATGAATTGAAAAACTGGAACGAAGAAAAACGAATGGAATCGAAAAATTATTGGATTTTAAAACTTTTTCATTTATTCCACTTTTCAATTTTTTCATTTACAATTTCCCGTTCTCAAAGATTGCTCGTGTTTACAATTTTCCATTTTCTCATATTTTCGTTTTTTCCATGTTTTGTTTTTCGATCGTGCAATTTTTTGATTTTTCATTTCCTGGATTTTCCAGTTTTTTAATTTTTCAATTTTTAATCTTTCGATTTTTCAATTTCTCGTTTTAGTTTTTTCACTTTTGATGTTTGAATATTAAAATTCTCCAATTTTTCAATTTTTTTGGTTCGAACAGTTGAAAAATGGAAACATTGGGACATTGAAAAATTAAAAATCGAAAAATTGCAAAACTGAAAAATATTAATGAATCGAAAAATTAGAAGGAAGAAAAACGACCTGAATCGAAAAATTATTGTATTTTAAAACGTTTTCATTTATTCCAATTTTCAATTTTTTGAGCTTCATTTTTCCAATTTTTTAGTCTTAGTTTTTCAATTTTTTCATCCTCCAAATTTTCGATTTTCAGCATTTTGTTGCAGTTTTTTATTTTCTTATTTTCACAATTTTTGAATTTTTCAATGTTCCGATTTTATATTTTTTTTTTTAATTTTAATTCTTTCATTTTTTCGTTTCCTCAAATTTTCGATTTGCAATTTTTTGTTTCGTTTTGTTTCTTATTTTTACAATTTTTCGATTTGTCCGATGTTCCGATTTTATAATTTTCTGTTTATTCAATTTCAATTTTTAAATTTTTTATTTCATCAATTTTTCGATTTGAAATTTGCCAATTTTTCATTTTTTTGGTTCTATTTTTCAAGTTTTAGTTGTTCGGTTTTTCTATTTTCGATCTTTTTGATGTTTCAAGTTTTAGATTTGCAATTTCACGAGAATTTTTAATAATTTTTAATTTTATTTTAATTTTTCAGTTTTTCGATTTTTAAATTTTTGAGTTGTAATTTTTCGTTTCGAATTTTTTTTTATTTTTTCAATTTTTCGTATTCATTGTACTAATTGCTTAATTTTTTAGTTTTTAAATTTTGTCGTATTTTACTGTTTCGGTTTCATAATTTTTCGTTCTTTCGACTTTAATTTGTTGAATTGTTAAATTTCTCGACTTCCGAATTTTTCAATTTATCACTTTCCTGACTTTTTAAGTTTCATTTTCTCGACTTTATACCACAATTTTTCCTTGTTTTTTTTTTATTTTTCAATATTTCTTTTGGTTTTATAATTTTTCCTTCATTCACTTTTTCATTTTTTCAATTTCCCGATTTTCCAATTTTTCGTTTCTTCAATTATTCTTTTCTTGAATTTTTCAATTTGAAATTTTTGAATTTTCCAATTTTTTGATATAACATTTTTTCGTTGTTTTTTTTTTCTCTTATTTTTGTAAATGTTTCTTTCGATTTTATAATTTTTCTTTTAACAGTTTTTCATTTCTTCAATTTCCCGATTTTTTAATTTTTCGTTTCTTCAAGTTTTCAACTAGTAATCTCTCGATTTTACAGCTTTTCGTTTCACAATATCTCGTTTTCTTTTTTTTTTATTTTCCAATTTTTGGCATCTTGGATTTTTCGTTTCTTCAATTTTTCGATTTACAATTTCCAGTTCTCAATGATTTTTTTTCGGTCTTGCAATTTTTAAATTTTTCAGTTCCCGGATTTTCCAATTTTCAAATTTTTCAAGTTTTGGATTTCCAGTTATCCGATTTTCGATTTCTTTCATTTTCGGTGTTTCTTTCTACAACACATATTTCGGTTTTTCGATTTCGCATTTTTCGATTTTAAAGTTTGTCAAATTTTAATCTATTCAATTTTTCAATTTTTCTTTTCTCCAATTTTTCCAGTTCTTGATGTCCAGTTTTTAGATTTTTTAAAGTTTTCGTTTTATACTTTTTGTTTTTTCATTTTTGATATTTAATTTTACGATTTTTCAATTTTTCAATTTTTTTGGTTCGGAAAGTTAAAATCGAACAACTAAAAAATCGGAAAAAATGATAAATCAAGAAACTGAAAAACGATAAATTGCGAGTCGAAGAACCGAAGAAATGAAAAGTAAAAAACTAAAAATTGAGAAACTTAAAAATCGAAAAAAGTTAATGAATCGAAAAACTGGAACGAAGAAAAACGAATGGAATCGAAAAATTATTGGATTTTAAAACTTTTTCATTTATTCCATTTTTCAATTTTTTCATTTACAATTTCCCGTTCACAAATATTGCTCGTGTTTACAATTTTCCATTTTCTCATATTTTCGTTTCTTCCATGTTTTGTTTTTCGATCGTGTGATTTTTTGATTTTTCATTTCCTGGATTTTCCAGTTTTTTAATTTTTCAATTTTTAATCTTTCGATTTTTCAGTTTCCCGTTTGTTCAGTTTTTCAAAGTTTTGATGTCCAGTTTTAGATTTTTCAAAGTTTTCATTTTGTACTTTTTAGTTTTTTCACTTTTGATGTTTAAATATTAAAATTCTCCAATTTTTCAATTTTTTGGTTCGAACAGTTGAAAAATGAAAAAATTGGGACATTGAAAAATTAAAAATCGAAAAATTGCAAAACTGAAAAATATTAATGAATCGAAAAATTAGAAGGAAGAAAAACGAATTGAATCGAAAAATTATTGTATTTTAAAACTTTTTCATTTATTCCAATTTTCAATTTTCCAATTTTTTAGTCTTAGTTTTTCAATTTTTCCATCCTCCAAATTTTCGATTTTCAGCATTTTGTTGCAGTTTTTTATTTTCTTATTTTCTTATTTTCACAATTTTTGAATTTTTCAATGTTCCGATTTTATAATTTTTTTTTTAATTTTAATTCTTTCATTTTTTCGTTTCCTCAAATTTTCGATTTGCAATTTTTTGTTTCGTTTTGTTTCTTATTTTTACAATTTTTCGATTTGTCCGATGTTCCGATTTTATAATTTTCTGTTTATTCAATTTCAATTTTTAAATTTTTTATTTCATCAATTTTTCGATTTGAAATTTGCCAATTTTTCATTTTTTTGGTTCTATTTTTCAAGTTTTAGTTGTTCGGTTTTTCTATTTTCGATCTTTTTGATGTTTCAAGTTTTAGATTTGCAATTTCACGAGAATTTTTAATAATTTTTAATTTTATTTTAATTTTTCAGTTTTTCGATTTTTAAATTTTTGAGTTGTAATTTTTCGTTTCGAATTTTTTTTTTATTTTTTCAATTTTTC